CACCCCCCAGCCCAGGCCAGTTAGCCCACAGACCTGTCCTCCCGGGAGGCTTGGGGAGGTTTGGGGAAGAGCAATCTGAGCTGGTGGATCAGCAGAGACCCCTAGTGGCCTGGAGGTGGATGGCAGACAGCGGGGCCCCATAGGATGTACTGCCCCCTCCAACTCCTACCCCCTCCACCTGTTTACCAACCCCCCCCCCAACACACAGTAGATCCTAGGGAATGGCATTGGTTTTTCTAAAATAATCAGTCAGAAGGACCTTTGCAGTGTCATCTAGTTCATGTCCCCTGTTCCACAGGCATCCTAGTAAGATAAACATTCCAGCTATTTCAAAATAACTTAAAGGAAAATTTTTCTATCCATCTTTGCCCTCACTCCTTCCTTTCTTCCTCCCATCAGTTTATTCCAGGAATTTCTTCCTTTGGTGGAAATTTCGTTTCCCCGGGCAACAGAAGCCCTTTACTTATTAACAGTGAAGACTGGTGGTTCCAGGGACTGAGCCGGCTCCCCCCGGGCTGACATCAGACCATGAGGTCAGAGTTCATAGCCATAGTCCGTTCCTTTGTGCCACACACACCCCACCTGAACACCCTCCGCTTCCAAGCGCGATCCCAGAACCTTTCACATGTCCTTAGGGAGGCCTTCCTTTTGAACAAATCATCTTTTTTGTTGTTGTTCCAAAATGAGATTTGGAGTAAAACTCACCCAAGTGACCACCGTGGCCGATGGCGCGAGGCAGTGAAGGCTTTGCAGCTGGTCCACGGGGTTTAGGAGGTGCGAGCTCTCAGCCATTCTAAAGCTGCTCTGCCCACTTTCAGAGAGGCTCTCTGCCTCTCTGTGTCTCAGAAAAACAGCGCACAAGGATCGTCAGTGGGACAGCTTCCGGGGAGGCCTGTGGAGCCGAGCTCGTACGTTTCCATCCAAGTCCTGGGTCCCTTGGTCCAGGCCCAGAGATGTCATTCCCAGGAAACTCTAGGGAAGTTTTCAGCTTTAGGACCTTGTCCTACTTGGAAAGCAAATCTTACTACTAGAAAGTAAGAGCCCACACACATCCCAGTTTGGTGGGATGGCTCCACCAGGGAAGACAGGCTTCCAGCAGTTTTCAGAGGCTTGGGGACACCACGGCCATGTTTCTGGTGGGACGAGGCGGAGTTCTTGAGCTAGATAACCAGCTCTGAGCCCCTGGTTCCTGGACAATTGGGGCAGGGATGTGAGACTCTGAATGCTGAAGCATGTCGCTAAAACCTGTTCACATGTGCTTCTCACTTCTTTATGGGCGCTAAGGAGCCTGGAAGGAGACAGCTCTGTTTGGGTCTAGACAGAGCATCATCCACCTGCTTGGGAGTCTGATAAGCCCCAAGAGGAAGCTGTCAAGAAGATAAAAATACTGTGTGCTTAGCCAACATTTTCTCCCCAAGGGGCTTCCACTGCTGCTGTATTAGCTCCTTTCTCAAAAAAGCCGTAGACTGTTCCCAGAGATTCAGAGCCCCATCGTCTCTGTAGAGACAAAGGCTCAAGAGAGCTAGACCCGCGGCTCCCCCTGAAATGGCTGCAGTCAGGTCACAGAGCTCATTCAAGACAGGGTCGCAGCTCCCACTTGTGGGTCTTGGCCGGGTCCCGGGAATGTCTTCGGTAAGGAGGCATGAAGGAAGGGGGCGCGAGGCGAGGACTGACCACCGCGGCTCGGTGTGCAGTCCCAGCTGAATCTCCACTGCTACTACTAAGTAAAGAACCCAAACGGCTCTAGGATCTTCTAGGATGGGTTTTTAAATCCTGGCTGTGCCAAACTCAGCTCCCTCGTTGAGTGGCTTTAGCCCAAGGAAGTGGAAAGTGATTTATTGAGTGCTTACATGTGCCAGGCACCCTGCTTACGTGGAGCCGGGATGTCTGACTCCAAAGCACATCTCTCCAAGTGAGCATCAGTGCTGCTCTCAGAGCCTAAGGACCTGGGTTCGAGGCACAACTGTGTGACTCTAGGAAGTCACTTTGGTTCTCTGGACCTCAGTTCTTCAGGCAAATAGAATCATCTCTCCCATAGTAGTGAGGAGATTAAAATGAAATAGCATGGTAAAAGAATGCTAATATTCGATGTGTGTAATAAATAGGTAGTTTCAGAGCCATTGATCTTTGGAAGCAGCCGAGGGCGGTTTTTACAAATACAGATTTTTATAAAGTCTGGTTCAATGACCCTGACACTCTGTGTCTTTGGAAACTCGGCAGGGCTCAGGCCGGTGTGTGAAACAGCTCATATTTACAAATGTAGGGGATGGATATTATTTCCCCAGACCTCAGGGAGGCCCAGATTTTCCTTCCTCTTTTTTGCCCAGCTAAGATGGGGCTAGCCCTAGCCTTGCCCATGGTCCCTGCCCCTGAACTTCGATACTCCATTCCTTTGCTGATATAACTTGGCTGCCTCTCGGCATGTTCCAGCCAACGACCCCAGAGTAGGAGAAGGTAGGAAAGAGAAGAGTCTGATCTAATGCATAAATTGCCTTTAGTCCCAAACCCAGAACCTGGCATGGAGGTCAGCAAGACCACAGGGCAGAGAACCAGCCAGAGTGTGAATAAGCAGATGAAGTATCCAGGCGATAGCTCACCCTTCTGCCTCTGGCTGGCAAAAATGTGTGTTGGTTGAATCCTAAGGCCCACATCTTGTATTTATTTTACTGATTTCGCTTGTGTTTTCCTAACCTTGCTGGATACTTTTTTTCAGGGAAAAAGCAAGTCTGGGGCAACTTTTTATGTTTGAAATTCCCAAATGCCTTTCCCTGATGAGGAGTACCGTGGCATGAATAATTCCAGACAAGAGATTAGTGAAAAGTCATTTCCATTAGTTTTAGGGTGAAAGGCATGGAGGGATGACACCCTCTTCTATTACATTTACCATCCAGCTTTGCTTCAGCTTCAAATAACACCAACATTGGTTTACGTCCTGTGAGAATGGGTGGCGGGGGTGTCGGGACGAGGGCAGGATCAACCTTAGATGGACACAGAGCTGAAAAACAGGCTTTGAGGGCTCCTGGATGTTAGCAGTGGGCCAGACACATTTTATAAATGAGACTGATGCTCCCAGAAGGGCCAGGATTTGCTGATTCCCAAGTCCATGGTCTTTCCTCTGTAGCCCATGCTGCCTCTTTACTTCTGGGGTTTGAATTTTTCACCTGTTCACCTTGTCTCCAGTAACTATGTACTGAACCCCTATGATTCCAGGAGCACCTCGTAGTCCAGTTCTTGGCACAAGGTGGGTGTTCAGTATTTGTGGATGAAGGAGGGCTGTGTTCTAGTCCCATTGCGGCAAACCAGCTGGGGGCCTTGGGTGAGTCACTTGGGTTTCTAAGAAGCCTCAGTTCCTTATTTGCGCTCAGGGAGTTGGAATATGTGGCTTTTAAGGGCTCCTCCAGTTTTTAGGCTTCAGAAGGTGGGCCTCAGTATTAGACTTGAACCGCTTGAGTGGGAAGACCAAGAGTTTGGCGCCAAGAAACTCTAGACCTTCCCTGGAGGCTAAAAGCCCAAGCTTCTCTCCCAGCCCTAAAACGAAAGTCAGGGAGCTTGGGGCCTTCTTTTCCCCCAGTGGTGGTCTATTTTCTTGACTGTTAACCTGTCTAAATTCTTACAGCTCATTGCATTATGACTCCAAGCTGTGTGCGTGAGAGCATCAGCCCTAGATGGTCATCAGACAGGTTACCTGGTTCAAGCCCTGTTTTCAGATGAGGCACTGTAGTCGGAGGCGCTCAGGGACCCAGGCCGGTCTCCCAGGGCTCCTTCCACGGCACCTCATTGGCCACCGTTCTTGCTTTCTCCATATAAAGCCTAGAGACCCCAACCTCTCACACACCCAATTCCTTCCTCACAATTTCTCCCCGCCCTGAGCAAGCGCCCAGCCCCCAGGCAGGGAGGGTTTATTGATGCTTCTTGGAGGCTGCGACCAAGCTCCGTCCCCTCGTGCATGGCATGCAGAGCCCCTCCACATCAGGTCCAAGCACTTCCTGGCCCAGCTGTGACGTGGCAATGACGAGGGGACCAGAGTGCCAGGAAAAAATACTCTTCTTATCTGCTTTGACCGCTGTAAAAACAAACTGCAAGGATTGTTTCCTGGGAGAAACGGGGGCTGGCTGGTTGACAATGTGGGGCAAAGGAAGACTCTGTCTGCAGTGGGATTCTGTGCTGGCAGCCTGGGGAAAAGGAAGGAATCGATGAGATGTGCCGATGGGTGGCTTGAGGTTGAGGCTCCTATGAGATGCCCTTAGAAGGCAGGTTCTAAAGAGGCTAGGGTGGCTGTTTTTGTATTATTATTGAACAACGATTTTAGTGGCCACTGTGTGCCAGGCACCTGAGTTAGATGCTCAGGATACAAAGATAAAACGTTGGAGGCCACTTGTGTGTGGAGCTGGGTGTAATAAATAATGTGATATAGGTACGTGAGGAAGTGAGGTTCTCGGGGGGAGAGGGTGTCAGGCAAGGCGTCTGGAGACAGTTCAGTGTGAAGGGTGAAGAGGTGCTAGGCACATAAAGCCTGGTTCTCAGCCCTGGCCACATGTTAAAACCACTTAGGGAACTTGTAAGACACCAAAGTCCCGGCCACACCCCCAACCAACTGAATTAGAATCTCTGGGGTTAGAACCCAGGCATTAGTATTAGAAATTCCCAAGTGAAGCCGAAGTGGGGACCACTGGTTTATGAGATGATTTGTGTCTCAGGTTTCAGAAGAACGGAATGTCTAAGTGGATAAATATTGTTGGTTGGTTGGTTGGTTGGCTGGCTGGCTGGCTGGCTGGTTGGTTGGTTGGTTGGTTGGTTGGTTGGTTGGTTTTTAATATTGAGCCTTTTTATTCACTGCTTCTAGAAGGCCATGAGAATTGCCTTTCAGATTTGGGTCCTGGGAGGCGCAGGAAAAAGGGAGGAAGGAAGACAGGAAGGGAGAAAGGGAGAGGAGGAGTTTGGGGCTGTGGCTTCTAAGCATTTAGTGACGTTGTCACAAACCACGCCTCCCTTACTGCCAGGACCTCCTGCAGAATTCCCCCAATTCCATGTCTGGAGTCTCCAATAACCCCCAGGGGATTGTGGTCCCAGCCTCAGCGCTCCAGCAGGGCAACATCGCCATGACAACCGTCAACTCACAAGTGGTGTCAGGTCGGTGCAAGGGATTATGGGGAACACCCCTGGGAGGAGAAGGGGTGGCCCCAAGGGGATTCCAGGGGGTGGGGGGCAGGGTACCGTACAAACAATCTTAGGAAATGGGAGGGGTGCCCCCTGCCAAGGAGGGGCTTCCAGTTCAATTTCTTGACTAAAGTGTTCTGTAAGTTTATAGATGGCTAGCACCAAGACCTGATTGTGATATTTTGGAACAAATTTGGGTCAAAGTCTCATGAGTCTCTCAAAGACCAAGTAAAGCTGTTGTCCCTGCCCCCAAACACTTCCCACCAGAAGCTCTGTTCTCTGGACCCCATTCCCACCCCATCGCTCCCCAACAGGGGCTTGAGTGTCTCCAGAATAGAAGGTGTTTACATGGGAGTGCCAAGTGAGTTGGAAATCCTGCTTGCCCTCACTCCTACCCACCCGCATGGCAGGGGACCCAAAAACTGGTTGTCTCCTCAGGTGGAGCCTTATACCAGCCAGTTACCATGGTAACCTCCCAGGGTCAGGTGGTCACCCAAGCAATCCCCCAGGGAGCCATCCAGATCCAGAATACACAGGTGAGTGTGTGTGCACAGGCATGTGCTCATGTGCACAGGTGGGGGGGTTGGACAACCATAACTGTTTGCTCTCTGCTAGGCCCTTTACACAAGTGACTCACTTAATCCTCATTATGCCTCTAAGAGGTATCATTACCCCCACTTTACAAATCAGAAGCTGGGGCTCTGAAAGGCCTTATCAACTCCTGGGATTTCTACCCCTCAGGGTTATGTCAAAGGATTCTGCACCTCCTATACCTGGTCTCTAGCCGGAGCCACTCTGTAGCTCAGTGGGATAGGGCGCACACACAGGTTGGGGGAGGAAGAAGATGTGAAGTCAGACCTGAGATGTGACATTAATTCTGTCATCTTGGATAAGTTACCTGACCTTCCTGAGCCTCAGAGCTCTTATCCACAGAAGGGGGATTAACACCACCTGCACAGAGCCCTACCAACTTCCGGGGCTGCTGTCGGTGCTAACCACGGTGATGGCGAGGAAGGTGCTTTGCAAACCGTAAAGTAACCTAGAAATGCTAATAACCAGTGGATGGTTTCTGGCAAATTTGCCTCTCCTCTTCCCTCTGCATGTCCCTGTCTCCTCTGTGTCCTCACTCATCCCTTCCCCTCTTCCTCCTTCTCCTTCTCCCTGTCTCCCGTTCTCTGAGGGGCTGGTGCAGAGTGAAAGGAAAGGTGACCTCCCCAGGGCCCTAAGAATGAGTTGGGAAAGGGGGCTGGCAGCAAGAGCCTGCCATCACTATGGCAACAGGTCCCTAGCTGCTGGCCCGCCAGGCTGTTGATGCTGATTTTTTCTCCACGTGCCCTGAAGGTTAACCTTGACCTCACCTCCCTCCTGGACAATGAGGATAAGAAGTCCAAGAACAAACGAGGAGTCTTGCCCAAGCATGCCACCAATATAATGCGTTCTTGGCTCTTCCAGCATCTCATGGTGAGTGTGCGTGTATTGGGGGTGTGGAGTGGCAGCGTGGGGTACGAATAACCCCCTAGGTTCCAGACTCTGCGGTCATCCGTGGATCTACAGAGGGCGTGGCCCGAGAGAGAATATCTCTGATAGGGATCCCATCTTCCAGAGGCCGAGGCAGAGGAGAGGGACCACTATGGACCCACTTTAGGGGGATCTAAAGCTGGGAGGTTCTCTGGTGCTTGCTGCTGCCACGAAGAAGTGTGACATCAAGTGAGGGAATGAGGACAGACATATTCTGAGGAGAGCTAAGGCCTGAGCAAGTGTTTCAGGGACGGGGTAAGATTCTGTGGGGCCAGGACGGTGGTTGCTGCGGGCAGCCATGCACTCTCCTGCCCTTCTCCCAGGGAAGAAAACGTGGATCCTCAGCCAGGGCTCTTCTGTTTCCCAGAGTCCTCACCTCTGGGGTAGCAGCAGATGTGTGTCCCCTTTCCCCTGTCCCTCTGATCAGAGCAGCCGGATGAGGCACCATGCTGGGTAGCAGTGGCTGCGACCATCAGGTCTGGAAGAGCAGCCCAGGGAGAAATCTCCTTCCTCACACGACCAGCTCAGCTCTGCTGCAGGACAGCTGCGTTCATGAGCCTCTGTGGCCATTTCCGTAAAATGGCGACCAAGCCTCGGGTATAAACGTAATGTCTATAAAGAGCCTGCTGTGTGCACTAACATGATAGCAGTCATGTGCTGTGTGCGGGGTTAGTTGCAACAGACAGGGCTGTGGGTGAATGTCAGGAATGAATTCAAAACTATAATCCCCTAGCATCATCCAAGAGCTGTAGTAGTAAATGAAGGCCAATGGACGTGTCTGGGCCGACTGTGAAGGGTGTGCGTACATGTGTGCACGTGTGTGTGTGTGTGTGTGTGTGTGTACCCAGGGTGGGAGGTAGATTCTGGAAGCACCAGCAGGCTTCCAGCAGTCTGCGAGGTCTTGGCCTAGCATGGCAGTACCAAGATAGACCCATACAAACAAATACCAAGGGACTGTCTTGTCTTGGCCTGTGAGGAAGAGCAAAGAGTAAGGGAAACTCTTTCTTCAGAGGGGATAGAAGTCAAATGGATCATGGGAATTAATCAGCTGGTCAATCAACAACGCTTTATTTGAAACGGAAGTACCTCCAGAAGCCACGGAGCCTGAGCCTGGGCTGTGGTTCTCCGATACGGGAATCTTAGGGACTCTGGCCCAGAAGCGCTGGGCCCGCATACCCAGTGAACAGGAAGACTTGCTCTGTGGTGCCCGAAGTGGGGCTGGGGCTCTGCCTCTCTGCCCCCAACATGTCCACCCCCCTCCCCGCTCTAGGGTCTTGGAGCTGCCCCAGGGCTTTGCTGAGGAAGCACACTTTGAAAGCACCACCTAGAGGAACCTAATTTGGAGGGAGGGGGCTGGAAGGCCGAGGGGCAAGGTGAGGGGAAGAGGTCGGAGAGACTCCGAGAGCCTAGTGATGAAGCCCGGGAGCCAGGGCCAGGTCCATCCTCAGGCTTCTTGGGAGCCGCTCTGAATCAGTGGCTGAAGATGGGGGCAGGGATGCCAGGCGTCCTGCCTGTTCTGGTTTTCCACACCGCCACAGAGAGCCCCAGTGGCCCTGTGAGCCCGGTGTCCATGCTACAGCTCCCAGCCCACCCGTGGGAAGAGGGGCTCCCTGGGGAAGGATCTTCTGTGCGCTGGCCCATCACAGCCAAGACGGGGGCAGGCGCTCCTCTCCCCCCAACCCCCCCGGCCATGGGTCCAGAGCTGGCTCCACCCACCGCAGCACAGTGATGTGTAACCACAGACTGCCGGTGTGGTAGAAAGCTCGTGGGCTCCTGCCGTGGCCAAACCTGAGCTCAGGTCTAGACTTTACCTCTGACTCTGTAACCTGGACACACTCACCTCATGTGAAGAGAACCAGGAAGCAGTGCAGCAATTGCCAAGACCCTGGCACACTGAGGTGCTTAATCAGTGTTAGTGCCCTGTCCTTCCTGCCCCACCTCCCCCACGCCATGCATTTTTGACGACTGATGGGAACACACCCACAGCCTCACGTCTGAGGGGGAGAAAAGGCTAAGAGGGAGAGGAGGCTGCCAGACCAGTTCCCCCGCCCACGAGCCCGGGCGCCCAGGCCAGCACCCCACGCTGACCCCGATCACCTGCCTGCCACTCCCCATTTGCATCTCGCCCCTGACATGAGCCTGAGCCTGAGACTGGAGGGTCATCCTCTCAGCCCCTCGGGCTGTGTCTGCCCTCTGACTGCAGACTTCAGTTCACAGGCTGCCCTCTTGCCCCCTCCCTGCTGAGCACCCCTCTATAGCTTAGGGTTGTTTCTTTCCACTCCGTGGCCACTGCCCCCTGGACAGGCGATGGCAGAGGAAGGTAGAGGTGGAGAAGAGAGAGGGGGAAGTCCCTGAGCACAAAGCAGAAGAGAAGGAAGGACCCAGATCAGCTCCACAAAAGGGACTGGGAACAATGGAGAGGGCTTGCTGAAAAGCATGAGTAAGACTTTCTGCCCACACCCTCCCACCCCTGGACCCTCTCCAGCTTAGAGTGCACTCAGTGCGGATACTATTAATAAAGCACTTAACATTGGCAAAGTCCTCCCCCGCTTAATGCCTTCCTCACAGTGGCCATCAGGAGAGGACAAGGGAGTGACCCCCAGGCCTTTACAAAAAAAAAGTCACAACTCAGAACTTCTGGACTGGGGAAGGAAGGGGATGGGGAGAAGTCCAGGCTCTAGGGACACAGCCTGGCACAGGGGTCCTCTGCGGACCCAGGCTTGGCCATGGATCAGTCTTCTGGCTACCCAGATATTGGTGGGTGCACAGGCCCCCAAACCCCAGCTCAGGAGAGGCTATAAAGACTGGGTAACAAGGGCACAGCAAAAAGAACGCAGGCTTCGAAGCCAGACAGACAGGGGTACGAATTGAGGTCCCGCCACCGGCTATGCAATCTCTCGGAGTCGATTTCTTTGAAAAAAGATAATACCCATTTCCCACGCTTACAGAATTAAATGAGATAACTTATATAAAGAGCCAAAGATGGTACATAGGCACATTTAGGAAATGTGAATCCTCTTTGAACTATCTAGAACCGTGGACGAAGAGCAAGTTTTTGAGACCAAGGCCCACAGTTTGTGAAAATTAGAGGTGGATGCCTGACCTGTTGTTCTGATCTATAACATCTATTGATTTTTACCATCATTTGAACCTAAAAGACATACTGACGAACACTGTTACTTACCTGTTCTGTGTATATGTGTCTGTGTCAAATGTACATGTCGCGTATCTCTGACTCAGTTGTAAATTGCTCCAGAATAGGGATCATACGTTATACTTCTTACGTGGACCCTAAAGATTTGATTCCCAAAGTGTGTACCTTTATAGGATGTTATAGGTGTTGCTCCCAAGATGAGGTAAAGGAGTTTGGGAAAATCTGGGTTATACAAAGTTTAGCTCGGTTCTTGATTCTCAGTGTACTAGGGGCATTGTGAATTCACAAGAGGGGGCATGGTTCGAAGCTTTCCCCAAACATATTTTGATTAGTCAAAGCCCCCCTTCCCCACCTTGCTTTCACTGTCTCTTTGAGGAACAACTCTGAGACTGTAGCTCGTGGGAAATCTAACTCTGCAGTAACACCGTATGGGCTGTTCAGTTTTAGGAAAAAAGGGTAGAAAATGTATGAAAAAGGACAGATTTCAGTATCCAGTGGGTGTTCTCCTATCCTATCCAGTGCGGTGGGGACAACCCATGTGTTGATTGGCCAATTGGAAAAGTTGGTTGAAGAAAGGAACAGCCATTAAAAAGATACATTTTATTTTAATTTAGAAGATACACATATATATTGATTTGCCAATGTCTTGATAGAGGGCCAAGATCTTTTTCTGATGAGAGGTTGTCCTTTTACTTGCACAAACCTCTCCTATAATAGAACATCTATAAATTCCATCTTTATTTAACATTGGATAAGAACTTTGATGTCTGGGAAGTAATTTGGCTGTAGGATCTTTCTAGATTTTTGTTATGTGTTCCAGCCACTTACATTTGTCCCAGCGATCCTCACTACACGGCATTTTTAAGGAAATCAGAGTCTTAAGTCTTTCCAAAGCAGTCCAATTAGTTTTCTTAGCAAGAATAACTTTCTTGTTGCACTTACATTTTATTGGTTTACAGAGTAACTACGTTACATCATTACACTAACACATGTAACTGGCATAAACCAGTCTGGATACAAACAGTGCCGACTTCCTGATAAGCAGATAAATGGTCTAATGAACATTCTACACAGTAGCCTATTCATCTTGAGCATCCGGGACAATGTGAACGGCAGTTGTTGTGGTTTGCAAGAGAAACGGAGAGCATCGTAAATCTACAGTCTCCGTTAGTAGAGATTGTTTGTTCAAACTTCTGTAGTGAATCCTAGTTTTTCCTGTTGTCTTCTTTCCCTCGGGGAGAAGTTAGTATTCTTTGATTCCTTTTGTCCGGTGTCTGAGGCTTCTTGTCACTTCCACTCTTGTGTGGCATTAGCAGCTACAGAAATGGATTCCGATGACAGAATGCTCCTGAGGTGGGACTTAAACCCCAGAGCCTTTTCTGTCAGGCTGCAATGAGAGTGGGAAGGTTTCATCCATTAGCTGCTTGCTCTGGGGTCCCTGAAGAATCCCAGGATATTTTCTTGCTACTGCATTTTTGGCTGAAAGAGGCCAAACTCCTGCCGGAAGCAGTCACTCCCCAGCAAACCCAGGCTGGGGGAGAACCCCCTCCCCGCCCCCGCAGAGGGTCCTCTCCACGGAGGATGGAGGGAGAGGGCTACTCTTCCCGCCTGGCTTCTGCCCCCACCCCCTCTGCTCCGGACTCCAGCGCCCCTCGCCCTGGCCCCGTCATTCTGCTCATTCCTACCCAAAATATGGCTGTTCTCTGTGTCGCTGCCACCAAAGCACAGAAGCAACATTACAGAATATTCTCTGCATGTGGGGAAATCCCAGAGAGGAAACCAAGCCCCA